AATAAATTATACATAAAGCTGAAATTCCTAATAGTAATAAGGCCCCTTCATGCGATAATCATACTGGCAAAAGCAGTAATCTGTCGGTTGCAACTCTACAGGGTCTTGAAATTATCTTATAAAAAAAATCTACACTTCCAAAAGTGTTTTCTAGTTTCATGACTGAGCTCACATGGCAATGTCCCTGCACAGACACAAAGAAGGAACTCCAAATAAATTCATCACTTACTCATTTATTACACTGGAGACAATGTTGAGAGAGCATTAGTGCCCATACTGCTACTTAAAAAGCCAAGCCAGTGAGGTTTTCATTTGAGTACAGTCAACAGTAATTCACTGGGCAACTTTTTTATGTACCTGGAGCACATAGGGAACTAGTATAAAGTTTTCCTCTTCAGAGTTAGGGAGAAAGGGCCTCCTACATGAAACATGGAAAAAATAATCTGGATCCATCCTGAATCTAATCAATTGCTAGTAGAATACTTGTGGGCTAGAATAGTAAGGAGGTGCCCAGTTAAAAATAAGGAATTTGGACTATTGTTTAATGGTAGAGGTAACTTGATTATGTAGAAAAAACTAAAGTCATTGCAGATGAATGTTCTGACTTAGCAAAAAGTTGGTGATGGGAAAGTCTTAGCCCATAGGGATGTGGTGTTTGCTCTGGTGAGCCCTCAAACCTTACAACATATTCAGGACAAATGCATTTATTCCACTGGTTGCAAAGAATGTTGATGCCTGACAATTCATTACTGAGTTCCTCTAATTCAACATCCTCAATTAAAGTAACTCCTAGTCAAAAGTAGGGGACAGGCCATACAAATGACTAGTAGGTTTAGAAGCATAGCAACTCATCCTTTTTTCAAAATTCAGAATCTCTTAAGAGCTATAAAGCTCCAGAGCTCCAAGAGGGTCTTCTTTGGTCTCTGATGTGATTGCATCACAGTCTAACTTCTCTTCCTGCATAATCCTGCTGCCTGAAAACTCTGCCTTTTGTCTCCCACCCTGCAATCCTCTCACACACACACACACACACACACACATGCACACGCACACGCGCACACACACACACAGGTGCTGACCTAGAAGACAAGCTCTGACAAACCTCCAGTTTGCCAACCTCTTGATTTACTTCTCTGGAGAATCTGACCTGTGATGGTAGAAGATGTTATGGAAAACAATCTAATCGTCCTGGGAATGAGCATTGATTCATTCAATAAGAATGTATGAAGCTCCAGTCACTGTTCTAATGTTGGAAACACAGCCATGAACAAGTCTCTTCTCTCATAGAGCTGGTATTCTAGTAAGGAAAAACTAAACAAACTCAGTTCTCAAAGTTTTATAAAGTTATAAAATCTATTTTTTTAAATATCATAAAAAGCATATACCTCAGAAAATTTAGCTAATGCAGTGTGTCTAAACTAGATACTTTGCTTGCAATTTCCTAGAAATTAGCTTCTTTCACTACTTGATGCCATCAAGAACATGAATCCCAAAAAAAGCAGTGCCAGTTTTCTAGTAGCTTGTAAATTCAAAGATATAAAGATGATAAAACATTGAAAAGTAATTTCAACTGATTAATATAAAAACACATTTAATTTGGCATACCAGTTATGCATTGAAATATTTTTAAGTTCCTAAATTAATGAATTAAATGTATATTCAAGAAGGTTGCTAAAAATAAGCACTTTTCTATATTTCCTTCTCCCAATATACCCAAATTGACTTTTTCCCAAACACATACTTCCCCCATACAATAGCCTTAAAATCCTAGGCAAATACTCATATTTCTCTCATTTGTGACATGGTTTTTCAAACTCTACAGCTGCTCTATTCAGAGGCTAATGTGTAAAATCTTTAAGATGCCCTGCATTTGCTGAGATCGAAGAATAAAAAGATACTGGAAGACAGATATGTTGTAACATTTCCTTGCTTAAGACAATTGAAATGCCCATAAATTAATTGGGGAATTAGATGATGGGATAGAAGGAGAGGTGTCATTTAAGAAAGAGTGGTCATGTCTAAAAGGCCTAATTAGAATGGTTAGAGTAACCCAATTCTCCAACAGAATGAGTTCCCCAGAGAGGCAATTGTGGTGAATAGATAGAATCTGGTGGGGGGAAATACCCTTCTCTTAATGAGAATTTTTGAACATCAATTTTACTCATTTCCATTTCTCAATTGTCTCATAAGCTTCAGATGAATTTGTCCATACTTTGTACTAATTTCTGTGATATTGACTCCCCTTTTGTATTCTCAGAGACTATAAAAAAGTAATTTATTCCACTAGATTCTCCTAATGTGAAAATTAATTCCTAGGGGTGAGTAGACACTTCAGGTAAATTTAGCACTTTAAAACTAACTCTATTATCTACATAATGGAAGGGAAAGATGACCTAAATCATTTTAAAAAAATGGCATTGTCTAAAATTTCCATATTTACTTTTTGAAAAATATGTGGGAAGTTGTTAGTTCAGGCAAGAACCCTATCTTAGAAGAGTTTACAGTTATGTGGCAGAATGTGCATGGTATTGTTCTTATACCAAACTAAATGTTCTTAGTATAACATAAGAGATTGGATGGGTAAGCTGTTATAAGAATTTAGGGAATGAAAGAATTGGCTCAAACCATGTGATGACATCTAGTGGAAATTCTAAGTGCTCGCGTGCTGTCTCTCTCTCTCTCTCTCTCTCTCTCTCTCTCCACTTGCAGACAAATGAGAACAGGCAGGAAGCTATATACACTTTCTTTTTTCTAAAGATGGATATAATGAATGCCCACCCCCAAACAGAATTACATTTCTTTAAATTGTTACACAACATGTAATCAGTCATTACTATACAGGAGACTCAATGATTCTCAATGGTTTAGCACATATGTAAAGTTATAAGTAAGGTTTTTATCTTTGTTTTTATAATTGGGGAATTGCCATTTTCAACAACATGGATAGAACTGAAGGAGAATCATACTAAGCAAAATGTAAGTCAGAAGGAAAAAGATAAATATTTTCTGATTCCATTTATATATGGAAAATAAAGAGACAAACAGAAAAAACTAAATCAAAGCAAACCCTAGAAATTTTACTGAAGAAATGAGGTTACCTGAAGGGAAAGATGGGTGGACAGAGTAAAGAGGAGAGGGTCTTTTCACTGTGTCAAAAGATTATTGATGCTCGGTGGTGATTGTGATGTCAGAACATACATCATAAGAGCTGACTCTATACTCTTAAATCATACATATGTTGTAAACCAATGTTATCTCAACAACAAAATGAAAATAATAATAAAGGAATAAACATGTGGGTAAGACTCAATATGATCTCAAGGGGAACATACCATGAGCAGAGCTCATGATATGGACTCTATACCACAGGCCAATGTTAAAAGTCTTTCTGCAAAGTCTACAAGATTGCCTTCTTGAAAATCACATTTCACTTTAGGGAGCAGGGAGTGATACTAGTGAATAAGCCCTGATTGTCATACACCCAATTCCCTATGTCAGAAAGCCATTTAGCATCTATGATTTCAACAAAAACTATGCAGATACCTCAAAAAATGAGGACTAGAAATACTACATGATCCACTTATCCCATTTCTTGGTGTGTAGCTGGAAAATAGAAAAATACTAATTTGAAGAGTGATACGCACGACCATGTTCATCATAACATTACTGACCATAACCCAGAGCTAGTAGTAAACCAAGTGCCCCCACCATTGACAGGCGATTAGACAAAGGTGAAGTAGTATATGTACACAATCCAATACCACTCAGATTACTTTTAAAGAGATGATAAAACTCTGGCATTTGTAACATGGGGATCTAGATAGTTATGTAAGTGAAATAAATCAGAGACAAAGACCATGATTTCATCCATAGTGAAAAACAAAACTAATTAATGAACAAAAACAAAAAAAACTCAGATCTTAGAAGAAAATAATCATTGCCAGCAGCGAATATGGGGGGAGAGCGGGGGGGGAGAGGTTAAGTGTTTATACATACAAATGTTCATTTGGAAGCACAATCATATAAACCAATGTTACTTCAGCTGAAGGAAAGAAAAAAAATATGAGGAATGAGGGGAGAACAGTTTGAATCAGAATAAGATTTCCCTAAATTTTTTCTAAACTTCCCTCTCCTCCTAAATATGAATGCAAAAATTCTTATTGAGCAAGAGCATGGTTCTTAGCTAATCATCGTACAAAAGTGAGACATTTAAGGTAGGAAAAACCATAGGAGTTCTTTCTAAAGCAAAAAAAAAGTAAAAGTCTATATACCATCATCATTTTGAACTTTGAATCAGTTGTTCAGAAATGCTCAAATGCAGGTCTGGTCAACATCCACTGGGCCTAAAATGTGGCACCGGGAGTGTTACCAAGTATTTCAATGTTCCTACCTACTACCAAGTTTTTTACAAACTTTAGGATAAAATTTATATATGTGTTTTATATGTGTGTGGGGGGGTGTGGGGGTGTGTATAAATATATATATATATATATATATAAACATCATATATAAAAATGGCAACAGTGAATGCCAACAGAATATACATATTCTGTTGGCATTCACTGTTAGGAATTCAGGATTTCTTATTAATAAAATTCAATGGAACAAAAATACAAGTCATTTACCACAGCATCTGAAGTATGAATCATAATCCTATTTGAAATGTGAGAAGAAAATAATTTAGATCGGTTGATTCCACTGGAAAAGCATTAAGCTCTTTTCAACTCTAAGTTATGAAATTTTGCCAAGTTCTACAGTGCTATTCAAAAATCCATCTTGGTCTGATATCGTGCTAAATGATGGTTAAGAATGTAAAGTATAGATAAATCGCCATTCTTGATGATAGTTTAGGGTATGAAATTGGGGTAAACTCAATCAATCTAAGATTTTCAAGCTCGAGTTGCCGTACCCCTCTTCCCTAGGAATTTACAGTGTGCATGCACACACACGAGGTTCACCGATATTTGAACAATTACTTACACTCTCTCATTGCTTCTCAGCAAGAGAAACTGGGCGATATCTGCTTCTCCCTTCGCTACGTCCCTACTGCTGGCAAACTGACTGTTGTCATCCTGGAGGCAAAGAACCTGAAGAAGATGGATGTGGGCGGCTTATCTGGTAAGTCTGTGATGTTTATTGGGTTTTTTAATGTTGCTTTATCATAGATACCAAAAACATAGCACACCAGCTGTGACTCCCCGCTCCTTAATTGATCGCAGTTCTTTTTCCTACTGAGCCTGGAAGCACTTTCGAATTCATCCCAGTCTAGGGCCCAGGAGGGCACACTCAGTTCATTGGAATTGGCAGACAGGATGAGATCTACTTTCCCGCTTCAAAGCCAAAGTATCAATTTTCAGTTCTATAGCATTGAAAGTTCAGGGTTTTGTTTTGTTTTTTTTTTTGGTTGGTTTTATTGATAGAAATATACCCATGACATGAAACAAAATGTATTCTCTGAGACCCATTTAAGTAGCTCACAGTCTAGCCCAGTTTTTAACAACAGTTTTATTAAAGATTCAGCATTTCAAGTATATGTGAATAAAATCTGAGGTTGAACCCCCTCCCCCACCATGATGTATTTATTTTCTACAGCTTATATGGGGGATGAGGAAGAATTTTTGGATTTAAAGCTCTCTAAAACCACACTTAGTTTAAAAAAATAATAAGCAGGTATATTTGTTCAAAAGTAAAGTCAACTCAAGGACTTTCACTTCCACACATGAACATATTTTTATTTTTAGTGTCATTAAATTGATTATCGTTTTAATTTCCCAGTAAATCATTAAAGTATGAAACATTTTCTTGTTATGCCACAAGGTCATTATAAATAGAGTTTTCATTGTTTGTAGCTGTGGAATTAGAATCAGCCTCACTGGTTATTCAGTTCTTCCTCTAATAAAAACACCATAGCTTCAAAAGGTCACCCTAATGCAGACAGACAATTTTATATTCTAAAGCATAACAGTTAAAAAATGGTAAAGCTGAGTTCCCATTTACTGAACCACAGATATGTCAACCCAATTCTCCTGGTGCCTAAGTTTATTTCTCTTTATAAATAAATTGCCTGCAAAAGCTGCAGTAACTCTTTAATGTCACCAAGACCCCATTTCTTTGCCTAATAACAGCAAATTTAAAGCAATAAGCAGTTTCCTTAATGTACCTAAAATGCAGAATATATGTATAAATGGATGTAAATGCACATGTAATTTCAAATAAAATTTGCCTCTAAGGGAACCTGCAGTTTACTAGAGAAATAATAGAATTCAGGTGTGGCACCAAAGTATAAAAGACAAGAGAAGATCATCTCATCACATTAGAAAGTAAGGAAGTTACTTGTGTCATATCAAAAGTCTTAGGAACTACTGTCAAGAGGCTTCCACACTGGCTGAAGATGTGATAATTTGAACCCCAGTACTGATAATAAATGTACTATATTTAAACCTAAACCTTAAAAAGGAGCATTTAATGTACCAGCACTTCTTTAAATAGAGACATTTTTAATTATAAGATCATTTCACTGCTAGTTATCCACTTAGTATCCTGAGATAGGACTTCAGATAACTTTGAGCTTTCTCTTTCCATTGGTTCAGTAGCCAAAATTATTGCTTACTGCTGTGTATCCCCTCACATGCTCCACTGCAACCCCCCCAGACCAGCCATCTTGTCACCTCCTGTCTTTACTGCTCCCTCGCCTTCCTCCTAATTCACCTTATACCATTCAACAGAGTTTATCGAAGCCAATAAACATTTAGGTTTCTTCATTTGTTCTGTCTTATTTGAAGGATATAGAAGTGAGTTCCTGTGCTCATAACAGATATTTCAACAGGGGCCTCCCTGGTGGAGTAGGGGTGAAGTCTCAGCACTATCACGCTATCACTGATGCAGCCTGAGTTAAAGCCCCAGTCAGGGAGGGAGCCCACAGATGGTACAGCAGATCTCACCTGTCTCGTTTGCTGCTCCCCACAGCAGTGTATTTCAGTAGATCTGCCTGTTCTGCTCCCCATTGACTCTGGTGAATTACCTGAACATCCCTCCCACCCCTCTACATACATACATACACACACACACCCCTCTAACCTGTATCTCAGTTCTTCTGTGCATAAATAAAATCTTAAAAAAAAAAATCCCAGATGTTTCAATCTTGTTTTTTAAGCCCATTTTGTGTCTCATGACATTGACTTCTTCATCATCCATCTGTTGATATCATTGCTCAAAAGAGATCCAGGCATTTTTGAGATTTGTCTAAGGGAAGTTGTGTCTAGCAGAACATATTTACAGGCTTTCACAGGCATAATCATGTAAGGCAGGTAAATGACAGTCATCCCACAAAGGGCTTCAGGATGACACCTACCAGACCCTCAGCTAGCTGCATTGTGACCTCAAGGAGGCAAGGCCAGAGGGCACATATAACTTAGCATTCATGATATTATATTTTCTGTATTGTTATCTAAAGTCAAATTACATTTTCTGGAAATGGCTAATTAAAGCAGTCTGTCTTGACAGAGTTTAAAATTATATTAACTCCAAAACCCACATAAACTTGGGTCTATATCCCCCACCTCGGAATTACCTGGAATGGATTTAAATATTCAATAAAGATAAATAAAAAAAATATCCTTAAGGAATTCTAATCTTAATTCTACAGGCAGCAGGGAGCTCTGAAGTCAGAATCATTCCATTTTACATAGACTTTCGGACTATGGGCCACCATATTTCTACATTTTAACACTATCAGCCATCATACTGGTCTCCAAATAGGCTGTGCAATTTGCTGCCTCCGTTCTTTGCTTAAGTCACTTCCTTCACCTGGATTTCCCTTTCTTCCAAAAAATGCTCAGCTAAATCCTATCCATTCTTCATTCTTATGTTAAATATTATTCTGAAACTAGGTTTATATCAGTGTACAAACAGTAGAAAGACTCAACCCATGTGGTGGTTACAGTTTTAATATGGAGGCAAAGAAAGTCAGCAAAATAATAAAAAGTATACAGTATTCCAAGAGGCAGTAAACTACAAAGAAAGACAGGCAGGGAAGTAGTATAAGAAATGTGGGGAATAGTTTTAAATTGGATGCTCAAAGAAAGCTCTTGTACAGGTAATATTTTGACAACCTAAAACTCATGAGGATGTGAGATTTAGGGGTGTCTGGGAGAGAGCATTTTAGGTGGAGGGTGGAGGACTCTGGGAAGTCTTTTCTGATGTACCCCAATAGAACAAAGCTTTTTTAAATGCCAATAGCAGTGTGTTTACATTCTTCAAACATCAGGCCTCTCTCTTACTAGTCTGTGTGCTGTATTTATATCTCCCATAATGCCCTTGCTGACAGGTAGCTGTGAGCATTCCTGAATGAATAATGAATTATTTACAAAGGAGCTATGGTCTGAAAAAAACAAGCCTTGCATTTCAAATGTGTTTAACCTACTTACCATCAAAATAACTTTAAGTACTTGGATGGTCTGTCTAAAAGTGAGTTGACCTATGTCTGAGGAGATCAAAATTATATAATGAGATCATTCCAGGTAATTCAAATGCCAAACTACATTTGCTGGAAATGGCTAGTTAATTGAAACCAAATTGGGCTGTTTTGCCTGGCTTTCAATCCCACTTGTCATTACTGCAGTTTGACAGTAAATGAGTTATTTTGTTTTTTAAGCCTCAGTTGCATTTTCCAAAAAGTGAGAATAGTAAATTCTTGTTTATAAAGTGATTGTGAGGAATAATCAAGTCATCTAACAGCATACTTAAGTGATAACTAAATATTATAATGATTTTTGTTAGTAACTATCAAATCTTGGACTATGTATAAAACAAATAAAAAACCAATGGACAGTTTAACAAATTACTTGATTGATGGGGGGGGAGTCAGCTAATTGATGGGATTGACTGAGCAATTCAGGCAAAACATTATCAGTGAAGCTGCCTTTTATATAAAGCCAATAGTAGATTAAGACAAGATATAGAATTCATCAACCAAAAATAGTAAAGAACTTGTATGAGGAAATGATCTTAAATAATTTGTCCTGCTATATTAATTAAAAATTCAATGTATAAATATTTTGCCTTTATTCTGTATCCATAAAGCAAACCATGAAAGCCCCAACATTCCCTCCTTTACCATGTGACCTTACTGGATAAGTCCCATCTCTATGGTAGTTCCTGGCACTTGCATGCTTAGTATCCCAGCTCCCAAGTATTCGTGAACAACAGCAAGAGTTTTTGAATCTAGCTATTCACACTAAAATGTTGAATCTTGTGGGCTACAAGACTTCTTCACGATCAGGTTGGTGCAGGTGATGAACGGCTTTTGCATTGGAGAAAAACCTCTTCAGTAATCACATCTCTGTGTCTTCACTGGCTTTTATGCATCTGCGTGTTTGGAGTAAATATCCCGTTAAACCATAACATTTGCTCTTTATAAACAGTAGGCAGGAATGTGTAACGCATCTCAGTTCTTATGGCTGCCATAATCTAGTCTATAATGTCATAGACTAGATGGCATAAGAAAAAAAATAATTGATTTCATAGTTCTGGAGGCCCAGTGTCCAACATCATGTCACTGGCAGCTTCAGTGTCAAGAGCGCCCACCTCCTGGCTATAGATGGCTGTATTTCCGCTGTGTCTTCCCAAGGAAAGAGTAAGACTCTCCAGGGTCTCTTTTACAGGACCCCCCTACATCATGACCTCATCTCTTCCTAAAGGCCCCACCTCCAAATATTATCACATTGAGGGAAGGGTACAAAGACACAGACTTTAGCCTATAGCAAGGAGGCCTACCAAGATATTGGAAGAGTTACGATTCCCTATGTTGTGTCTGTATAGATATGTATTTTTGCAAGTTATGTAATTTTTATATTCATTTACAACAAGTCATACCTTCTCCTTATCCCTTTTTATGTCAAAATTACTTTCCTCAATTGGGGGGAAATGAGGATTCATCCCAGAAATTTGAAACTACTGACTTTTTATTTTTTAAGATTTATTTCTTTATACACACAGAACTGAGGTACAGGCCAGAAGTGTGGGAGGGGGTGAGAGGATTCACCAGAAACAGAGTGGGAAACAGAACAGGCCTACTGATGAAGTACACTACTAGGGGAGCAGTGTGTGGGTCAGGAGAG